TTGGGTTAAAAAAATAAACAATGTGTCAGTTATTTAATTTTACTATACCTTATGCTACAACAATATAATGCGTTACATTAGTACATTACATTAGTACATATGTACCCGACGGACCTCCAGCGGGCCCACTGATAAAGTGGGCGTGGTGTTTAGTCACCCCTTTTATATCCTACACTACTGGCACCCGACTGTCCCGCCAGAGCTCTATCATCCATACGGCCGACAGTGAGGTGTAAACACTGGAACCGATGCCAATGACAAACGCACAGATATACAGCACCCATAGGTATGGCGATAGCGGTATGACTGCCGACGCAATGGTTAATGTGGTGAAGAATATGGCCATCAATAGCTGACGGTTTATATATTTAAATTTGTACATGACAACTATTGGATCAAATGACATTCGTGATTTAATGTTGAATTTATTTATCAAATATATTTTGTATAAATTAATTATTTACTAAATGCACCGAGGATAAAACCACCAGTCTCGAATGTGGCAAACAATGAGATCCATTTCATAGACGTGTGCAAAATGTATTTCATGTCGACCATAATGGGGGCGTAAACCGAGTATACCATTCCCTAGATTTAAATATTTAATAGTATGATCAATAATTAAAATAATTAAATTATACAAAACAGTATTTACATAAGCAATATCGCTACAGAATAAAATGATCGTGTACACATATTTATCATAATTATTGGCACAGTTATCAATGTTTAGAAAACCCATTGTTTTAACAAATTTTAATAAACTCTTAATTTAAATGATGGTTAAAAATGAATGCATGCCAACTTATATAACAAATAAAAATAATAAAATTTATAGTATTTGCTAATTGTGGATAATTATATCAGTTTATGAGACATTAAGTTTTATTATTTAATTTTCTATATAGTGCGTTTGGTCAAAATAAAGTTGCCAAGTGCATTTTGATGTTCATGGCATTGATTAGGTTAAGTTTTAAATGTTGTCATAAATGATATGCACTTTAATGCAAACATAATAATTATTTATACTTTAATAATAGATGTAGTAATTAATATTTAATATAATAATAAAGTTATAATCATATTTACAACTAATTAAATAGACTTAAAATTACTTGATTAAATAGTTATAAAAGTTTATAATACATTTTTGTCCACACGTTTGTGCAAATAATGTTTAATTCATTTTAAAATTACTACTTTTTAAATGTAATGCTTTCATAAATGTGTTAACTTTTATTATTATTAACTTTACAAAACTTGTATACTTTTAATTGATAACATGAATTATAAAAGCGATTACTTTTAAGTCAAATCAAAATATTAATGTAAAGTTAAGCATCAAAATTAAACCACAAAAAACAATGCATTTAAACTGCATCAATACAATGAGTATTACAACAATACTTATAAATAATAAAATGAACGTGATGTTAAAAATACAAATTGAATATAAAATTTAAACCAATAATAGCGACAAAAAGTCGTTACAATTTTGTGGCGAACCTCCGGCCGAAAGTCACACTAAGAGACAGTTGAAGACTTGACCAAAAGCTATGGCCGCCAACCAAAGCAACGCCAACACCAATAGACCCGCGCAGACCACCGGTCAGTCCGGCGCACAATCCACTGCCCAATCAAGCGGTCAGTCAAGCGGCGCATCGAGTGGTACATCGAGTGGACAGTCAAGTGGAACAGCAAGTGGTTCATCGAGTGGACAGCCGGCTAACCGTCCGCCCCAACCACAACCACAACCCCAACAGTCCTATTCCGGCGGTATGTTTGGGGGCAATAATGTCGATTACCACGCGATGGGATACTATAGGCGGGGATTGCAATTGTGTCGACTGCCGCGACGACCCCACGAGATGGCAGAGGCCCGCAGACAGCAGGAGATACGGCGCCGACGACGCGAACGACTGAGGATGAGAGGAATCGGCAGAAGTGGTCGTCGGCTACACTTCGGGTTCAGAGGATTGGGTTTGTTGTCCAGAAGAGGTCTTTCAAGAGGAAGAGGTCGTCGGTCGAGACGCGGCCGCAGTTCAAGAGGGGGTCGGAGAGGACGGCGCGGCCGGAGGTCGAGACTGGGGGACCGAGAGCTGAGTCCCAGACGGAGACGACGGACGAGAAGGAGACGAAGGCGGAGGAGAAGCCGTTCCAGTCTTTGAAGACTGTGTTTATCTCCCGTGGGATCAGCCAAAAAGTGGTCATTTGTGTTGTCCTCCAGTTCTCTAAATCAATGATTCAATAAATATATTGTGTTTTAAATTTTGTGTTCATTTTATTTTAAATTGATTTGAAATATGTGTTGAAATGCAATGATTTTGTGTTAAATTGAATGTTATTTGTAGTAATTTTTATCAAAAAGTGATGACATTTTATGCAAAATAAATCAAAACCTTTTCGTGTAAATCAAACTTTAAATCAATTATTTAATTATAAAAACGCGTGAAAATAATATAGACTTTCTTATTAGGAATTATAATGGGAGTTATAAAGGAATTATACAATAATTTTACATTTATTTAATATAAAACTTGAGACTATAATTGAATAAATGGATAAAACAATACTCATTTGCATGTCGTTAAGTGTTAATGAAATAAAAGTTTCAATTTTCAACATTATTTCACATATAAACTAACAAAACGCGCGAAACAACTAAAAACTTTATTTAACACACAATTAATTTCAAAATTATAATTAGTCTAAAGTAACGGCTATTTAAATGAAATAATTGAGTGAATTTTGTCTGAAATAACAAAGAGTTTATGCCTTGACTTTAGACCTGTTTTAAACATTTGTTCACAAATACAAAACCCAAACAATAATTGAATTCATTGTGCGATTGAATGGGAGATAAAGAAGATAAGGACAGCGCCGTTGGCTTCAAAGTTGGCAACCGATACGTTGTCAGCAAATACATCGCCGGCGGTTAGTATACACCACACCCCTGAGCCCACCCGTCCACTAATACTAACACTCTGTCCACTATTACAGGATCTTTTGGTAAGCTATATAAGGGACAGAACATTAAGACAAAGGAATGGGTGGCCATTAAACTGGAGCCGAAGGACGTACCGGAGCCTCAGTTGACACTAGAGTTCATGTTCTACAAGAAGTTGAAGGCAACCGAAAGCCAGGGCACGTCCACATCGGGATCGGGTCCATCCACTACGTCGGCGCCCTCTTCGGCCGCCCCTTCGGGCGCCGCTTCGGCAGCAAAAACGACGAGCGGTTCGGGTCCTCTACGGGGTGTCCCCCGCGTCCACTACTTCGGTCCGTGCGGTAAATACAACGCTTTGGTAATGGATTTGTTGGGCCCGTCGTTGACCGGACTCCAGAAGACCTGCGGCGGGAAGTTCTCGCTGAAGACCACGCTATACATAGCCATACAATTGATGGACATATTTGAGTACTTCCACGGCCGCGGACTCATCTATAGGGACACAAAGCCTGACAACTTCCTGTTCGGGCCGTCGGGTGCGGCGCTGTATAACCAGTTGTATATCATAGACATGGGTTTGTCCAAAGACTATGTGGACGAGAGCGGGCGACACATCAAAATGGTGACCGGGAAGGGTGTGACGGGTACTGTGCGCTATATGTCGCGAAACAACCATGCTGGTATCGAGCAAAGTCGTCGCGATGACATGGAAGCGGTGGGTTATATGCTCGTGTATTTGGCCCGGGGTGAACTGCCCTGGCAGGGGGTGAAGGCCGACACGTTGAGAGCAAAGTATAAGAAGATCGGTGAGATTAAGCGGTCGACAACACCGGAACAACTGTGCGGTGATCTGCCGCCAGAGTTCGCCCGCTTTATCCGTACGGTTACTGCCCTGGGCTTCGAGGATACGCCCAAATATCGCGATTACAGCCAAATGTTTAACAAAGTTTTGTCCAAAAAGGGTCTCAAAGACGACAAAATCTACGACTTTGACAGAAACCATCAAATGAGACCTAATAAGTGATGTTTGCTTTTTGTTTTGTTACCACAGTTTTGTCCATCTGTTTGATCCATAATATGTATATATGATAAATGTATTAATACTTATATATTGTTTTTTTTGTGACATATTTTTTTCTAAAATCAGTTATAATGTCTTAATCTTTAATTATTTTCATTAAAAAATGTCAAATAAAAATTAATAAATTGAATTATTTAAAGAAAATAATGTTTTTGTTTCTTTAAATACAAACAAAACTACAATTTGGATATTTTATAAAACTATTGAAACATTTAATGCAAAAAAAATCAAAACATTTTAGTGTAAATCAAACACTGAATGCAATTATTTAATTATAAGATAACGTGAAAATAATATAGACAATATAAAAGGAATTTTAATTTTTAAATAATTTTACTTTTATAAAACTTGAGACTATAATGAAATAAATGGATAAAAGTATTGTTATTTGCGATACAAATATTGAAACCGATTAGACTTTCATTACAAACAAACTTTTAAACCGTTATTTAACATCATTTTGAATATTAAAAAACACTGTAAATAAGAGTTAATCTCAAAAAATGAGTACCACTTTGTATGTAATAATTTTTATGGTATCTGTCGTTGAATGTAATTACGATATTGAGTGTAAATACATGCAAACCAATGGCGTGTATAATGGGGTTAAACTCTACCGGCGGTCGTATTTAAGTAATGAAAGCTCTTTGAATACAGAGTATCGCATGTTTTCAAGAGATAAAGAGTGGGATCTTATGATTGAGAAAAATAATTCACTGATGGTAGTGATGGGCAACTCATCCATAGATCGCAACCCAATGCTTGTCAATAGCTTTACCGGTTATATGATTACCGAACAGAACATCACGACAACCATTGATTGCAATTCAACTTTACAACAGGTTTTTATTGAACAATTAATTAATATCTCATTTGTTTTAAAATAAGTATTTGTTACAAACCATAGGATTTCTGGCATATCTCATGTTTTGTCGAGGATTATACTTTTATACCATCTCAACCTCAATACAAGAGAAATTATGTGATATTCAGTCCAACAATTGTCGATATGAACCACACAACCAATTATGGGTTGGCTTTGGAAACCACTAAGAAATGGTTGATTTTATTACAGATTGAGTTCTTTAAGAACAACACCTTTCATATTAAATATATAATCGATGGAAATATCACCCGGAACCATTCGCCGGTGTTTATCATGGAAATGCTCGGCCATGAATTGTTGCCACACTTGGAGGGCATTGTTGACTACCATTTGAATGATGAAGATCGGGGATATTTACTGTGGTTCAACATCGATGGTCAGCCCCGGTATTGTTTTACGGATGAGTTCGGGAGTCTGTCGCGACAGGTATTCAATTTAATTGTTATTGAATTATATATGAGTTATAATTTAAAAATTTAATTTTTAGTGTAATTCAGCGAAGAATTTGATTAAATGGGATTCAACTTATTGTCCCTTCTCTGAAGGCGTGACAAATATAGTGACGATTATGATTATATTTGGAGCACTAATTGTAGTGATTTTCATAATTGTTATGATTATTATTGCGATTATAATCGTTGTTATTATGAGAGAAAGAGATGAGAGACGAAGAATAATAATACCGACCGTAAGATCACATACAAGTAATAGTCAGTCGACCGTTGATTATAGCACTCAAGAGAAGACAATCGATACGGTCCAACACTCGGCTTCAATTGTCAATCCGTCCAAAACTATACCCAAAGTTAAGCCCAAATCCAGAGTTAAAAAGTCCAAAATTATTATTTAATTATTTATTGTTTGTTTAATTTGTATTTGAAATATATTTATATAAAATGTTTTGTTTTTATGATCTACAACATTTGTATATAAACCCATATTAAATAGATTTGTGTACTAAAAACTTATTAAGAAATGAGAAAATTAATTTAAAAAATGATCATAAAATAAAAAAGTAAATTTAAGACACAATTTTATAATAATTAGTGTTTTATTAGAAAAAGTATTCAATAATTAACTCGAGTTTAACTCGAGTTATAATGGGATAAATGGATAAAAGTATTGTTATTTGTTGTTTAAAAAACATGAATATAAATTAGACATAGAATTCAAAAATATAATAAAACTGTTATTTTACGTCATTTTGTAAAGTGTTAATTAAAAACAACTTAACCTTAACTAAACCTTTATTCTCAAAGGCATAAAAATGTGGATCTATTTGTTTATAACAATCCTTTTGCCTTTCATTGAATGCAATGATATGTGTGAATACATGGTATCAAATGGCGTGTATAATGGGGTTAAACTGTACCGACACTCGTGGAGAAGTAGTCAAATGTTAAGCACATCTTCGCGTATGTATTCAAGTGATAATGAATGGGAACTAATCGTTAAGAAGGAAAAGAATTCAGTGGTCGTAGAGATGGATAAGTCATCCGTAAGACACATACCAAACAGTGTCTATAGATTTTCTCTTCTTATGAAACCCAATGACAAACTAAAAACTCTTCGCTGCGAAACAAATGATAAGGTTTAGTGTTTTTTGGTGTGATTTTACAAATAAATAATTAATTATATGATTTGTTAACAAACCAGTCGTCGCTAAAAATGTACACGTATTGTCATTCATCGACAGATCCTTTTAACGATACCAAAACAGAATACAACACAAAGGGTGTAATACTTAGCCCAACGGTTGTCACAATGGATACCCCGAGCAGTTATGTCCTGATTTTGGACACATTTGACCGGTCGGTAGAGGTGTTAAACTTCTCGAGAACCGGAACCAAATTTTCATTTGTTGTGTTAAACAATTGCAACCAAATTGAGTGCCAAACCCCACAATTTGTGGCCGAATTGCCCAATACTTTACTGAAACGGTTAGAGGGTATCCTTGATTGCCATCCGGACGATAATACCTGGGGTTATATACTCTGGTTTAAAATCACTGATCAGCCCATGTATTGTTTCACACCGAGTAATACTTCGCTATCGGATCAGGTATTTAATCCACTTTTTAATGTAAATTGTAATGAGATTTCAATATTGATTTTCAGTGCAAATCTGTTGACAATTTGATTACATATTTGAATCCAAAAGATTGTCTGAAGAAACCATTTTTAGGAGATATGACAAATGTTTTCATTATATTTGGGGCACTAATTGTAGTGATTATTATTATGATAATATGTATTTTTGTGGCGATTATTGTCTTTATTATTACTCGAAGAAGAAGAGGAAGAAGTACTGCTAAGAGACCATTAAAAGTATTGAAAACGCGAAAAAATACCTTTTAGTTATTTATTATCAATTTATGTATTTATTAGCATTTATTTTATTGTTTTCCAAATAATTACAATTCCTCTATAAAATCAAAATTAATAAATTGCATTATTTAAGGAAAAAAATGATTTTGTTTCTTTAAATACACACAAAACTACAATTTGAATATTTTATTAAACTATTAAAACATTTTATTCAAAATAATCGTTTAAAATTAAATTATAAAAGTTTTAAACAAATCATTCTCTCTCTCTCTCTCTCTCTCTCTCTCTCTCATAATAACAACGATTA